AACAAATAGAGGTAGATTTAATAACTAACAGTACGATCTATATAATTAATTGAAACAAAAACAAAAAATTAACGATAATTAGAGTCTTCATTTTGTTTCAGTTGTAGAGAAGGAGGTAGAACTAATAACAATATGCTATTTTTGGTAATTGCTTAGTGAAAAGCAAAAGGAAATGGAAATAGTTTGGATGGGTAATGCAGAATTTCTTATGGCATTAATGATAGGAATTTTGTTTATGAAGTTAACCAGCGATAATGTACCATTTCACTTTATCTTCTTTCATTCCCAGAAAGAATACATTTGCTAGATAACAAAGCAAAACCAAACCAGGGGTGTTTTCTTAATTTTCCATTAAAACATAACCGGTTCTTAGGTTGCCAAAAGAATTCTTTTATATAATAATGCATAGCTACATAATAATCTACTGTAAAAACCGGGCAAGTTGCATATTATTTTTAGTTTACCATGTTTTCTTACATTGTTCTATTTATTACACTACAGAGAATAAATTTAAAGAAATGGCTCTTTCCTGCTGGTACTTTATAGCGGTTGCTACCTTCAGTTCCCTTGTCAGTTAACATGAAATATCTACACATCCAACATACAAACACCAATTGTAATTTCATTAAAGAGGTATTTACTGAGCCAGCTGCTCAGAGCAGAAATATCCCAACCCCCATAAAACAGATACTTTAAGGATGTATTAAGGAAATTGAGAAACACATTCAATCTGTCTGTGTATTAGTTCAGACTCCCAAAACTAGCCTTGCTATCATGTTCCATGTAAATTGTTATTAGAGAATTTCATACATTCGAATCTGTAACTAAAAGTACTTTATTTCTAAGGGGAAAAACCCTATATTACTTGCTACATAATTACAGTTATGCAGCTGGTCTCTTAGGCTTTGCTAGAAATTAGAAAACATGAGGTGCTGCACAAACTGTAATCAAATGTTATTAAATGTTAAGCCAAGGAAATGCCATCTCCACACCAAATATTTCAATCTGTAATATTGGTTACGTATCTAAGCTTAAATAAAGTGGCACAGTCAACACATAAGTCAAGTTGTGTTTAACTGGAAATAATTACAAATACTTTCCATCATTTATATAATTCATTGCCCCTTAGTATAAATGTGTCAAACATACATTAAAGAAGAAAACTAGTCATAATAATAAATCATTGAAAACTCATCAATATTCATATTGTTCACTTTACATTTTCAAAATGCTTTTAGAATTACATTTCATTTCATAATGCAATGGTTGGAACCCTTCCCAATACAGGAATCTGCTATTGAACCTTGCCTAGTAGAGAGCCGTGCAGTATCTCTTTAAGTAGTTGAACTGATAAAGGAACTAGAGCAGGGATGTCAAACTGCCAGCCCATGGGCCGCATGCATCACACCAAAACCACGCCCACCCCATTGCCGGCAATGGGAAAAAAGTCGCAATACGTCGCTACACATCATGTGATGTCACGAGTTTGACACCCATGAACTAAAAAAAAGCATTAAATAATGAGACAGTCAGTTCCCTTGTTGAAGAGTAATTATTATTACGAAATCTTTCTTGAGGCTCAATCAAAATCAAATTTCTTGTATTTTAAACTCGCTTGGTTTTTTGCCTACCCTCAGTTATTTGGAGACATTATTTCTTTTCATAGTCTCTAGGATAAACCAGGGCCATCAACTGTATGTATGTATGTATGTACGTACGTACGTACGTACGTACGTACGTATACGGATAGACAGACAGATAAATAAGTGATACTTTAGTCTAGTGTTAAGGCTTTATTTCCAGGAGACTGTGAATTCTAGTCCCATTAAAGCTGGCTGACTTGGGTTTGGTCACTGTCAGCCTATGACAATGGGTTCAGGTAACAAGCCATTCCTATTGCAATCAATGGATCAACACTTGGTTGATCCAAAAGAGCAGATCCTGAACTTGCAGGCAGTTCATAGAAAACTGGAATTTCATAATATTGCACTTATGGCAGGAAGGAGGGAAGTGATACATCCATATCCAGAAAACCCCCCAAACTTTAAGGTTTTAGGGTTTTATTAAATTTATACCCCGCCCTTCTCCTGGCGGACTCAGGGCGGCTTACAGCAAGTTAAAAAACAGACAAACCATACAAAATACTAAGTTTAAAATACAATTAAAATGAAATATTGATTTTTTGCCGTTTCTTTTTAAAATTATGTTAAAAACCAAATTAAAATCGAATTAAAATCAAATTAAAATATCCCTTAGGCCAGTCCCGCTAGCTGGAATAGCCATGTCTTGAGGGCGTGGCGGAAGGAGGGAAGATCCGGAATGACCCGGATCTCTGCGGGTAATTCGTTCCATAGGGAGGGGGCTCCAACAGAGAAGGCCCTCCCCCTGGGGGTCGCCAGCCGGCACTGTCTGACTGACGGCACCCTGAGGAGACCCTCTCTGTGGGAGCGTATCGGCCGATGAGAAGTAATCTGTGGCAGAAGGCGGTCTCGGAGATAACCAGGTCCGATGCCATGGCACGCTTTAAAGATGATAATCAACACCTTGAAGCGCACCCGAAAAGCCACTGGTAGCCAGTGCAGTTCGCGCAGCAGCGGCGTTACATGGGAGCAACGAGTCACTCCCATCACCGCTCGCGCGGCTCCATTCTGGACTAGCTGGAGCCTCCGAGTGCTCCTCAAGGGGAGCCCCATGTAGAGAGCATTGCAGTAGTCCAGGCGGGAGGTGACAAGAGTGTGGGTAACTGTGCGCAAGGCATCCCGGTCCAGAAAAGGTCGCAACTGGCGAACCAGGCGTACCCGGTAAAACGCCCCCCTGGCCACGGCCGTCAACTGATCTTCTAGTGTCAGCCGTGGATCCAGGAGGACACCCAGATTGCGTACCCTCTCTGAGGGAGCCAGAGTTTCGCCCCCTATAGTCAGCGACGGAGTCAGC